CCAAAAAGGCGGGAAAACATTTTCATCAAAAACCGGGAAAATGCACACGTGTGAGGAAAATTAGGAAAATATTTTCCGTGGAAAATTTCGCCTATCAAACAGCCAAAAAAGTGGAAAGTGGAAAATATTTTCCTACTTCCCCGAAAAACACGGCCTTTTATTGAAAAAAGAAATGAGTTTTGAAATAATGAGAATCGAATAAGGGCCAAGTCATATTTGGTTTAAATAAAAATTTATGATTGAAAAATTAATAAAAATTGTAAATTTAGTCTCCGTTTGTTTCTCATTTTTCATCCATAAAAATGACAAATATGATCGTTATCCATTACATCGAGCCATCAATTTTGAATTTCTATCTCTTGTGTAGGGTTCAATAACGACTATATTTTTCATTCTCATTCTACAACAATGAGAATCAAACGTGCCCTTCATAACATCCGAAGTTAAAAATAATTTTGAAAAAATAAAATGAAGACCAAATAAGAGTTAAGTCAACAACTATAATTTTTAACTAACTTTCTCTACGTGTATCAAACATTCATCATCGAATAGACATTTTCGATTAATAAAAGAACAATGTTATTTTAAGTGCTGCAACACCATTTTAAATGACACTGCATGATATGTTCAATTAAAAGTAAAATTATGTCATTAATTTAATTGTACCTTATTTTTAATGACATTTAGTGTATCCTCAATTGGTTTACAACATTAATGATGCTAATAAAATAAGCAATTTTTTTCCACTCGTGACACCTATAGCGTTAATATAAAAATGCAGTAAATAAATATTTTAACTAATATTTTAGCGTTAATAAGCTAAAAAGTTGATATTAAAGTAAAAAAAAATAATTTTAATCACATATATTATAAGATTCACAACTTTTTACGTAAACTTGTTGAATTTTTTATCAAAGCATTGTCAAACAACCCTTTAATATTTTTATTATTTATTTATTTTGTTTATATTTCTAATTTACTTATCCGTAATTTCAAACAAAGTGCTTTATAGGAATGTCCATGTTCTTTTGTAAACCTTATTACGTGAACTTGTTAGTTAGAATACTTTAATTGTTGCACCACATCTTAATTGCAGTGAAGGTCTCCAACTCATTGTCGCACTTTTGTCACTAGTTACGAATTTCGTCAAAATATCCGTTGGCGCGTAAATAGACTTGTTTATTTTTAAATAAAGTAATAAGAAGAAAAAATAACAAATAGAACATTTTGAAAAATATTTGTCTTTCATTTCAAAGCATGCTAAGGGCCAATTCGACGATATTTCTGATTTTGCTTATACTTTCTTTAGAACAACTTCTTAACAGCATGTCTGGTGCGGATTACATTTGGAAAAAAGGAATTTTTTGCCCGTTTGGTATCGAAAGTGGCCGTCCTTTTTGACCAATTGTGAGTGAGGTGAGACCTGCCTGCCAAAGGTAACGGTAAAAAAATGGAAAAGAAAAGCCGCACCAGACACGACCTAAGGAAGTTGTGTTTGGAAACTGATTTTTGAAAGAGTTTTTTCATTCGAAATTTTTTAAAGGAAGTCTCATTGAACTAAACTTTATTTAAAATATCTTAGAAATAGAAGAAACACTTTTACAAAATTAATTAATATAACGGTTTCAACATACCAAAAAAGGGATAAGTACCAAGACAGTCAATATTTAAAAGCACGTTTCGCTAAATTCAAGAAGCATAAATTTCTTAAGTGATTTCTTAGTTTTCGTTTGGTTGGAATTAAAATTAGATTTTTAATAGATTTTGATAAAAATTATTGAAATGTGTAGGTGAAAAGTTGTGTATTCCATAAAATGTATGGTTAAAATTAATTGTTGAATTTAATTTGAGATTTTAATTGGACTTTAATCCAAACCAAACACGGGCTTAATTTACTACAAAAATATCTAAATAAGCCAAACATGCTCTTACGCACGCACATCTAGAATATATCATCACATTCTCACTCACGCTACGGCCAGTGCTCTGCCTCTGCTCTTTCACTTCTCTCTTTCTACGTGTATTAGTGTATATAAACACGATTATTGGCTCATTATAGGTATAAATTATCCAGTGGTTTAAGAGTGCGGTGACCGGTGAGGTACTTGCTACTGTGTGGATTCATGGAGGAGTTCTTGAAGCAGTGTCAACAATCAGGTGACGCGGCGTACAGTGCGCTCCGATCACTCCTGGAGCGACTGGAGAACCCGATTACTCGAAAAGATGCCCGGATCTTCCTGGCGGAGCTCCATAACAGATTCGACACCAAAGAAGCGTCAGAGAAGTGCCTCGAGACTTACCATTTCCAAATTCAGGACATCTACGTTGAACAATATGAAGGTCCACCCTCCATTTCTATACATATATATAGTTATATGCGTGTTTCCGTAGTTACATTACGTATTTGTGTATATGTGGATATGGATGTGTAAGTGAGCGTTTGGTGGTTTAAATAGTAATTTGGTCGAGCTATAGAAAAGTTTAAGCAAAAAAGTAAAAAAACCGGAAGATGGGATTTTCGATATCCAAAAGAACGAACTTTCTAAGAGTTTCGTTTTGAATTTTATGTAGATGAATATAATGGTTAAATGAATCTTGAATTTTTAGGAAGGATCAATTTATTCAGCCTGCTAACAAATTTAAAATCACGTAAATGACATAATCCTGATTATTTGAATTAGGGGAGGGAAATCGTTCAAGAGTTCCATTATTATTTCTATTATTGAATTTGGTTTACTGAGAAATGAATCTAAAACTATATTATTACAATGAATTCGTTTAATTGGTTATTTAGTAAATGCACGCACAAAGAGAACTACAAGAGACACGTTTACTTCTTTCATTTTGTTTTCCAACTTCTAATTAAATTTTATGGAAAAAATAAAAATAAAAATTCAGTTGCTACAAAGATATGATTGATTTATCATATTTTGACTTGTTCTTTAGATCCAGCTAATACGAAGCGATGAGTTGGTTATTAATTAATACTATGGGGCTGGTCCGTTTATAATCCTAACTCTAATAAACCAACAAGTCACACACAAATCATAGCAATTTTATCAAATGGTCAATTGAATTTTTATTAAACCCTATAGAATTAAGAATTAGAATTGCTCATTTGATTCACCAGAAAAGGAATGAATTCTTTGAATCTTCACTAAAATCATGCTGAGTTTAAGAATAAAAGCTAATCAAAAACTCATTTTTTCATTCTAAGCAATCCTAAAATCCAACGACTTTGGGATTCTTTAATTCACGATTATTTTCCCCTAGATTATTTTTTATCATGATTTTTTTGCTGCAAACCTGCTTAGTNACCACACATTCCATTGACACATAAGTACTATCCACTTATCCACCACTTATTTTTATCTATTTATAAATTCTTCCAAAATGGAGACATATATTTGATTTCTCTTTGTTTTAAATATATCCCCACAGGCAGCTAATGACTGTGATCTTGAACCAGTTGCTTATGAATTTTTCACGCAAGCTTCTGTACAGTACGAGGAAGAAGTTGCGGTACTTATTAAATATAATCAGTTTATTCAGTTACTATATCTTATACAAGTTTTTTCTTAGAACTGGAATGGGGCTATGTTCTAAACTTCAATGTTTATGTTAAAATTCTGTATTCTTAGGATTCTAAAGCCCAGGTGACTGCTATACACCTAATAATCGGGACTCTGCAGAGGATGAATGTCTTTTGCGTCGAAAATAGAGATACCTTGACTCATAAAGCTACAGGGGTATATCAATGTTCTTTGTATCTTTCTTCATAAAGACAGTTTACCCTTCATCCCAGCCTGATTGTTCTTTTCTGTTTAGTATTCAGCAAAACTTTTAAAGAAGCCTGATCAGTGCAGAGCAGTTTATGCCTGTTCACATCTCTTCTGGGTTGATGATCAGGATGGCATCAAAGATGGAGAAAGGTTAGCTATGTGAAAATAATCATTGGCATTATCTCCAGACATACATGTTTAGGAAATTGATTAAAACTCTTTTTAAGTTATATTATTAGCTTCGCAGACATTGTAAAATGAGTTGTTCAATTGAGATGTATTGGATAATGGTTCATTCGGTTAAATATAGCAATATAATATGGAATATTTTTCATTATAATATTGTTTTTTAGTGTAGGATTACTTTCCTTAATAGTTGATTGTTTAATCTTTATTTTTTTTTATTTCCTTTTACAGTTATTTGTAATTCTATAAATAGGGTCTTCTACATTGTAATATAATTAAGTTTATTATATACAATTTATAATATTCTTCACATGGTATCAGAGCCATTCTGATCCTAAACAAATTAACCCTTGAATTTCGTTTCCGGCGGGCGGCCCTGTGCTGCTCGCCCGGCCAATTTTTTTCTTTTCGTTTGAACGAGTTCGAGCAGTCAAAGTTTCTGGGTCAGATTCAAAAGAATTATGTAGTAATGGAAACGGGGCAGTCTTCTGATCTTCAAATAAACAGTAAAAGCCTAGAATCTCAATTCTTCTACTGCATTAGATTTCTTCGTTGAAGCTCGAAAATCTGGACTGGAAATACCTTACAGCACGATTTCTATGGGTTCCTCCAGAATTTGATCGGTTCATTAGATCTGTCAATTTAATTACCCAATCCACTTTCACGGATTTCTTACCCCGCCATTGTCGTCTCCCTCACAAAAATTCACGCACGAGACCGAAATCAGATATTTGCAAGTCTTTGGGAGCACAAATTTTGATTGATGATAATCCAAGATATGCTACTGAATGTGCAGATGCTGGGATAAGGGTTCTTCTTTTCGATTATGAAAATACTTATCCATGGTGCAAGATAGAGTCTGTTAATCAACATCCTCTCATCACTAAGGTCAATAACTGGGAAGAGGACAGAGATTCCGTTGAGGAGTTCTTTGAGGACGGTGTTATTTCTGAGGTTACTAGTTGGGTTGGGCCTCCATTTATTACCTCCACTGTTGGGCTTGACTGGGCTGTAGTTTTATAAGGCTGAAATTGTGAAATGAACTAGGGCTGCAGTTCAACAGATTCTGGGCTGAGCAGCTACTATTTAATTTTTTTTTTTTTTTGGGGCTTCTTTGTGTGGGCTGTTATTTCCCTTGGGCAATTAATTTGGGTTAATTAATTGGTTGTGTTTATTGGGCTTGGGCTGGGCTGAATTTACTTAGTGGATTGTGATTAATTTTATGGTTAATTGGTGGTTGATTTTATTGTGGGCTTTTTCATTGGAGTGGAGACAGAGGAGTTGTTTTCAGTGCAATTGGGCTAGTTATTATGGGCTTTATGAATAGGTTAGGGATTTGTTGAAAGTGGGCTTGGCTTGTGGACATGAGGGTCTAACTTGTAATGGGCATAGGTAATTATGGGTTGTGAGCAATTGGGTATTATTTTGGTTTTTGCGACTTGCTATGGTTTTCGGTTATGGAATTTTGGGCTTGTTATTTAGGTTTGCGAGGACAAAAAAAAAAAACTCGTTGTAGGTGGTTTTGGATTCTCATAGGAGGATCCTCTTCCGGTGTTTTGGCGTTAGAGCTTTTGTCGAAGCACAATTTCCGTGTTTGACTCAGTTCTCCCGACAGTTAGAGCTTGATGTGTGTGTCGGCGCACTTCGTCAATTTCCTTTGGAAATTCTTCCGGGTGAGTGAGCTCTCTGGAGTATCTTTGGAGTGGCTGAATCTTCGTTTCTCTTTGGTCATAACTCAACCTTTCAGGTGTGGGTTTCTTTTGGTCGTCCACGGTTGACTGAATTTTTGTTCGATATTAATCCAAGAGCAGTAAAAATTTCATGGATAAATCTATATTTAAATGCTTTGGACGACAGTGGCCAGCCAATTTATGATGGGGAGAAAAAAACTCTACTTGACAGGGTTGAGTTTCATGAATCCGATCTGCTATCTTACTGCAGAGATAATCACATAGAACTTGAACGAATTGTTGGATGCATACCACAGGTATTTTCATCAATTTTGTGAAATATTTATTGTGAATATTTGCTAATGAATATACTTTCTACATGACTAATGCTCTTAATGCATTTTAGGTTATCCAAACTTTTTTTTGACCGAATCTTCTCACATCTGATTTTCCCATTTCCTTGCAGATTCTTAACCCTAATCCGGATGCAATGTCCAAAATGATTACAGAAAATGCCAGTGAAGAATTCCTTCATTCTTTAAGCAACTATTGTGCTATCCAGGTTATTTGATTAATCAGATCTTTTATTGCTATTTGGCGTATAATCTCAACTTAGATTGTCAGCTTTTAAAAGCTTCATGCCCAAATATAAAATCTGTTTCCTTTAACTTGTAATAGGATACTGTAAGAGCTAGTAGAGGATGCGACCTTCTATTGCCTCTTATGTGTCCTGGTGCACTAAAACACTGCAGACTTTTTTATTTAAATTCTGTAATGAAAATTTAGACATTTGTAACTAACATTTATTCTTGTTCGCAGCACTGAAATGGTATATATTAGTTTTTTTTTTTTTTTTTTGAGATAGTTATATTAGTAATTTTAATATGCTTTGACTTGAAACAATTGCATTTAAGAACCTGAATATTCTAAATTCCAGCAAACCAATTAATTGAATTGTGGTCAAAACAAGTACCTCTTCTATGAAGAAAGTTTTGTCTAGATGGAGCTGAAAATCGAAAGATCAGTCTAATCTTAAAGAGATGCATCTTCTCATGGGTATCTCACATTCAATTTTTCATTGTAGGTGCTCTATGTGTATGTGCTATTTTCTATATATAACTGTTGTTACTATCATACTTAAGAGATATTGCCCTTTTCATTTTACTCGAGCAGATCGAGTTCAAGATTTTACTGTGTCCAAACACACTGTCTCAGAGCTGTCCACAGATGTGTTCAAACTGTACTTATTTATGTACATTCTCTGGAAAATGTCTATTCCTGAAGCAGAAGAGTTGATTTTTCTAATTTGTTTTTATTATGTTCAGGGCTTTGTGGAGGATCAGTTCGGCTTGGGGCTCATTGCACGGGCTGTTGAAGAAGGAATTTCTGTAATAAAACCTTTGGGAATTATGATCTTTAATGTGGGAGGTCGCCCAGGACAAGCTGTATGTGAACGTTTGTTTGAGCGCCGTGGTCTCCGTATTAACAAGCTTTGGCAGACTAAGATTCTTCAGGTTGCCACAGTAACTTCAGCACAATATTTATATCTGTAAAAGTGCTGACATTTAGATTGCTCTTGTTGCAGGCTGCTGACACAGATATTTCAGCTTTAGTTGAAATTGAGAAGAACAGTCGACATCGTTTTGAGTTTTTCATGGGGCTTGTTGGCGACCAGCCAATTTGTGCCCGAACAGCGTGGGCTTATGCCAAAGCTGGAGGTCGTATTTCTCATGCTCTATCGGTCTACAGTTGTCAACTTCGTCAACCTAACCAGGTACGATATATTAATGCATGTTTAGGTGAACATAGAATATCACAAGTGTGATGACAACATTCAGTCGGGAAAATGAGCATAATACTCAGTAACTGCTCTGGCAGGTAAAGAAGATTTTTGAATTTTTCGGAAACGGATTCCATGATATCAGCAGCTCCTTAGATTTGTCCTTCGAAGATGATTCTGTTGCTGATGAAAAGATTCCATTCCTAGCTTATCTCACTAATGTTTTAAAAGAGATTTCATTTTTCCCCTATGAACAACCTGCTGGAAGCAGACGATTCCGCAGTCTCGTCTCTGCCTTTATGAGAACATATCACCGTATTCCTCTAACCGCAGATGTAAGGAAACTACTGTATCTCTTTAGTTGTAGGATAATATTCCCTTTACTGTCGTGCAAGTTACATAAATATATTGTTGCCGTTTTATTTGTTCAAGATTTATGCAGCGTTTTCTCCGAAACTGGTAGTTTAGACTCATTTAAATGGCATGCTAACTCTATTTGTGTGAGAATGGTTGGCTTCAAGCTGAGAAAATGCTAAATTCTGCCTGCTAAAAATGAACAGGTTGCTTGCAAAAAAAATTGATAGTCAACAAATCATCTTATTAGTATAGTTACCCATTTTTCCCAGTGATGGTACTTCTTTTACCTGCCATTGTCTGGTGCTCTGCAATTTTTGTAATGTGAAAATAAAATGGCTCAACTTAAAAATAGATATGAACATTCCTGATTTTTGGAGATCTACTACCCTGGCGCCTTTTTGGCTTCTGTAATCAGAAGCGACTCTTGTCGGAAGGAGAGGAAAAGGATATCTTCAGCTATCTCAACTTGCAAGGTAGTGTCAGTGAGTGTTGCAGTCGTGTAGATCAAGTTGAATATCTGATAGTTGCAACCTCAGAACCTTAAACTAAATCGCTTTACTGGGAGGGAAAGGGGCTGAGTCGACTGACCATAGGGACTCTGTGGTTGGGGTTTTAGTTGGAGAGAGTCACAAATACATGGCTCATGTCTCTTCTTAGAAAAATGATTGATGAATGCATGCTTATTTTGAAAGGCAGGAACTCGACGGCTAATGTATTTAAGATGCTTATTGATCATTTTTCTGACATACAGCTGTTATTTAAAGATCTTCAAGTTGGCATAAGCTGGCCGATCTTTTCTACACGAAACTAAATGAGTTGGGCCTACCCACCTCACTGCTAGACAATGCAAACTGCTTTATCATTGATGCATCTTTTGGAATTGACTACCTACCCACCACACCAAAACAAAAGGAAAAAAAAAAAAAAATCCCTCCACTTTGGCATTTAATCAGATTTATCATGTTCTCTATTTTTAAGTTCTATTTATCAGCATATCTGATTCCATACTCCATTTTTTCATTATGGCTAGAACATTGTTGTATTTCCTTCAAGGACCGTAGCAATTGAGAGTGCCCTACGCTTGTTATCACCGCGACTTGCCATTGTTGATGAACAATTGACCCGGAATCTACCTAGGCAATGGTTAACATCACTAAGCATTGAGGTACGGTGCTTGGATATGCTCTTATTTCTTTTGTTTTTCATTTTACTCTATTTTATAATTGCTTACAAGTTACATCGAGAAGTCATCTTCTATACTTCTGAGAGTTTGCTTACATCTGAATAAAGATTTGTGGCAGCATCTGAAAGTCACATCAAAAAGTAAAACAAAAACATTATTTAGTGGAAACTAAAATAGAAAAAAAAAGCATCAAATTGCACTCTCCTCTGAGGAGGAGGTTCATGACAATTTTCTCCACGACAAAAGTAAAAGGTTGATGAAGATTTATCTAGTAATGCAGACGTGCATTGTGCATTACTGAAATTTAATAATTGATTCCACCAGTGAGGAATTCTTTCCTTTCCCTTCTCCTTTCCATAAAGTCATTTGTTTAGAACTTTGAACTTAAAATTTCTACTCAGAAGAGATTATGCGTTATGTGAAACCTTATTACTGATAATGTTAACATTGGGGAATGCACCCTAGGTCCATTTTGGGGGGACACGTACTTTGCGTTGAATCAGACATGATCCTATCCATTTTGCTCACTACAGTGTTCGAAATGGATATATTGACGTTCATACTGAAATCCACCATGTATTCCTGATGTCAGCATCGTATGAAATTTCATCATTTTAATATGAAATATGTTCTATGGCAAGAATGTCGAAAATCCCATTTCAATTCTGGGTGTTTCCTAGTGCAAATTCTTCTTTTGATATGTTTTAAATATGTCTTCCTTTTCAGAGGACAGAAGCTGCAAAAACTTTAGAGGAAGATATCACTGTTATCGAAGCCCCACGCCAATCAGATTTGATGGTAGAGTTGATTAAGAAGTTGAAGCCACAGGTGGTGGTATCTGGGATAGCTCAATTTGAGTCTGTCACTAGCGCAGCATTTGAGCATCTTTTGGACACCACCAAAGAGATTGAATGTCGTTTGTTTTTAGATATATCAGATCATTTCGAGCTATCTAGCCTCCCTAATTCTAATGGAGTCCTTAAATATCTCGCTGGAACTCCTCTTCCCTCACATGCAGCAATTGTTTGTGGCTTACTGAAAAATCAGGTATTTTTCTTCTAAGCATCTTTTAATGGGATTTATTTTGTCTCTTAGTTATTTTTGCTGAAAATACGTAGTTTAACCCTAACAACACCTAGATGGGGTGAATATGCATAATTATAATTATTTTATAATTAAATAGAAACAAGTCACTATTAATTATTTTCTAGATAGTTAATCATGCAAATCATATTTTTCTATGTTGAATTACAGCAATTATGAAAGTAATAAATAACACAGAATTGATCATGGAGAAACCCAATTGGGTAAAAACTTTGGACACTTTGTCAGTCAACAATCCACTATAAACGATTTGTAACTTACAGTCTACCAGCTAGACGACGACACGTATTATCTAATCTCCTGACTGTAATCCCAATAGCTCTCATGGATTCCGTGCTCCTGCACCAACTCCCAGCTGCAATTTCCAAAGCTCACCTGGATTGCGCTCTCCTGCAGCAACTCCTAGTTTTGTGAAATCGCCTATCTCCTGTGGATGCACAAAGAATACCGCGTTCTTCAACGATCGGAACTCCAGTTACCTTCCTTGATCTTCAGAAACTCTGATAGATATGAATGAAGCAGCAGTTTGGTATTTGGATTATGAATCTGATGCTTTTCTCACCGCCAAGAACAGATCACTATGTGAACGACGAAGGTTGAAGAGTAATTGATGAAAAGAATATGAAAAGCTAAGTGTTTGCTTAATGATCAACCTTAGAAAAACCGTTATGTAGCGTTTGGATAATTATATGTACCTTAGGGAATGAATGAGCCGGACAAAAAACTTTTAAAAAACGAATTAAAAATTTCTGGATAGAGCGAAGGGTGAGCGACAATCGGGCAACAGGTTGTCACTTGAGCGAAGGCAAGGCGACTAGTGGGCGACACAGTTTCTGTTTCTGACGTTTGAGTTAAACCTTGGCGATAAGCTAGCGATATTTCGGCGCTGTTTTTTCTTCTTTTTCATTCTCGAACCTAGTATAACACAACTTTCTACTATTTGCATATTACTCATTGACTTTTACAACATATCAATTTAAGTCCCTTTTGTTCACAGATTTACCAATTGCATTAAATACCTAACATTTGCTTTTCACTAGTCATTGAAATGTTCAAAAGATGCACCAGTTCAATTTAAGTATTTAGTTCTTAACTTGTATGCTTATACAATGCCTGTTACCATTTTTCTCTGTCCAGGTTTATTCAGATTTGGAAGTAGCTTTTGTTATATCAGAAGATGCAACAATGTTTAAAGCATTGTCTAAGACTGTGGAACTTTTACAAGGAAATACTGCAATAATCAGTCAGTATTACTATGGTTGTCTTTTCCACGAGCTTCTAGCTTTTCAGCTTGCTGATCGACATCCACCTTCACAGGTTTGTATGTTTTAAAATCATACTCACCTATTAATCATATGTTGTCAATGTAATAAGATGCACAATTCATTATTTATTCAGCCATATATCATGGCAGGGTAGAGCATATAAAATTTTGTTTGTGACAGTACTAAACAAATGAGCTTTTCCATCCTGATGGTAAAGAATATCATCAGTGTATTTGGCATTCAGTTTAGGTTAAAAGGGAGAAACATAGGTCAATCTAGAGATTAAGTGGAAATAAATAATGGAAGACTATATCAATCACATTTCAGTATAATTGTCTTTAAATTTTGGATTTCCATGTCTATAGTTCCTTCTGGCTAGGAGCTTTGCAAATTGCTGAATCATGGTCCTTTATGCAAATTTTTTTTCTTGTGTTCATATAGCTGAGAGTTCACAAATACTGTTGATCAAGCATCTTGAGTTTCCAATAAAACAAGATGCAGGTTTTTGCAGATGAATTAATATCCATTAAATTTTTCATGACCTTTGCTTTCTTTGTTCCTTGCGTATGGTATCTACCACTCTTATAATGAAAATTTGAATTTATGAAAACAAAGGTTCTATAAAACCTTTTCTGGATAATCTTATGGATTGCTTTGCTCTTGTCATCAGAGAGTAGATGAGAAGGCAAAAACTAGTGAGGCGATTGGTTTTTCTAGTTCTGCCATCTCAGTCCTGGATCATGCTGAGTTATCAATTAATGAAACCGATGAATCTTCCCTGATTCATATGGATGTAGACCAAAGTTTTTTGCCCATAACAACACCAGTTAAGGCTGCCATCTTCGAGAGTTTTGCAAGGCAGAATATTGCGGAGTCTGAAACTGATGTCACGAGTGGGATCAAACAATTGATTCACAGTAGTTATGGGTTTGTGTCTAATGGCAATACGGAACTCATATATGCAGACTGTCCGGTAGCATTGTTCAATAAGTTGGTACTCTATTGTATTCAAGAGGGGGGGACTTTTTGCTTCCCAACTGGTTCAAATGGGAATTATGTGTCTGCTGCAAAATTTTTAAAAGCAAAGATTATCAATGTCCAAACCAATCCAGAAGTCGGATTTAAGTTGACAGAGAAAACACTTGCAAGTTCGTTGGAAAATATCCATAAACCGTGGGTCTACATTTCTGGTCCAACTGTCAGTCCAACCGGTTTGGTTTACAGCAACGAAGAGATGAAGACTTTATTGACCGTATGTGCAAAGTTTGGGGCAAGGGTTGTACTGGATACCTCATTCTCGGGGGTGGAATTTAACTCCAAGGGCCAGGATGGCTGGGATCTAGGCGCTACCTTGGAGAAACTTTCTTCTAACAACCCGGATTTTTGTGCATCTCTGCTTGGGGGATTGTTCTTTAAGATGCTTACTGGCGGGATCAAATTTGGATTTCTTCTTCTAAATCAGCCTTCTCTGGTGGATGCATTCCATGGCTTAGGAGGGTTAAGCAAACCTCACAGTACTATTAAATACACACTGAAGAAATTATTGGATCTTCAAGAGGGGAAATCTGAGGACTTAATGAATGCTATTGCAGAGAAGAAAGAACTTCTGGGAAGTAGATATAAACAGTTGAAAGAGGTATGTCTTGAATTAAGAAACGGAATTCATTCACGTCGGAAATTCTATTTCTTCGTTAAGAAATACTATTCTAATTCTTTGTTAAGAAATACTAGCTTTTAATTGGAGACTTATATCCTTCTTTTTCTTTTATCAAAACCATATTTTTAAATCCTATTATGCTGGGACTTGTGCATTCAGTAATCATCTCCAATCGGGCATTGTTAAATAACTGAAAACAACGGCGCTTTAGTCTTGAGCTCATTTTAAAAATCCACGTTTCAGTTACTTGACATCGAAAGGGCATCTTTATTTACTGCTTGTGACCTTGATTTAACTGTTAGCACGCTGGCTTGCTTAAAAAAGTAAGAGTTCATTTTTAGTGACTTTTTGTTTCCAAATATGTTTGTTTTACTTACTTTTTACTTACCTTCTAAATAAAAGAAAGTTACTTTTTTAAAAGTAACTCTTTTCTTAGTGTCAATATAAATAATTTATTTTACAACTTTGACCAATAAAAAAGTTATTTACTTCAAAACTTACTTGTTTAGTTACAAGTAAATTACTTACGAGTAAACTTTTTAAGCTTAGCCAAACATGCTCTTCTAATTATTTATCTTGTGGTGCCAAATTATTTCTCCCTACCATATGACATAATTAATGGTCCAATATTGTGATTCCATCGTCTCTTCTTACGTGACATCATCTAATGCACTTTCTTGTGATGTATGTACACAACAGACACTCGAAAAGTGTGGTTGGGAGGTGCTTGAAGCTCAAGCTGGAGTGTCAATTGTAGCAAAACCATCTGCTTATCTTGGGAAGAATGTTAAGATCAAGAATGGCGCCAGTACTCAGGAAATCAAGCTTGACGATTCAAATATCAGGGATGCCATGCTCCTGAGTACTGATTTATGCATTAACAGTGCTGCATGGACTGGAATTCCCGGTTACTGTAGATTCACAATTGCATTGGAAGAAAGTGATTTCAAGCGTGCATTAGACTGCATCACTAAGTTCAAGAGCATAATTTCTAATTGAAATACTGTTGCCACCTGATTCCCATTGTTTTTCACAACTTTGATGTTGTGAAATAGATTTTTCATTGAGTTGCTAATTTGATGCTGCAACATATTACTGAAAGACAAGTGCTGGTTTTTCTTAATTCACACTCGTGCATTCTATTAACAGTTTGTTGTTTAGTTTGGCTTTTTTCTGCCTTTCGAATTTTAAACTTCTTGAAGAACATGTTCATTTTACATACTGATGACGGCGTGTTGTTCTTGATTCCTGTCTTTCTATTTGAGTCGATTAGTGATGAGATCTGTCCTATGTTAGGGCTACTGACTAATGGTAATTCTGAACTCTTGATGCCCTCATCAGGTAGATATAGAAATTCGTAATATTCAAAGTTGAATTTGTAGATACTTAATGTTCAATAGTGTTTTGTTTTGTTTTTTGTTTTTTTTAAAAAGGCTATATGTACAGGGGATAGGTGTGCATCTGTGGGTGGATTTCAACAACTGTTTTTGAAATCCACCAACATATGCACGGCATGTACATATGGCATCTCTCTCTCTCACATTCTTGTAAGAGTTGATCAACCTAGACATGCGCACTAGTGCCCTACATTCAGTCCATATTTGATATGATGTGTCCACCAAAAGACTCTTTCAATCTCCTGAAAGATTCTCGAGCGAACCCTCTCACAATCACTAAATGAGCCGACACCCTCGATGTCCTTGGTTCGGCCACACAGCCAACGTAATCTCCGTTGACATTCCTGTAATGAAGAAAGAGGACGTCAGCATAGCAGTTGAGGAGAGCTCAATATTTTGATAAAAATCAAATTTTTAGTAGAATTTAGCCCTCGTTTGACACCCATTTTTTTCTTATTCACATTCTCATTTTTTTCTCTTTCTTCATTTCAACCACACATTTTATTAATAAAATAATATTACACATAAACCTAAAAATTCTTTTTACTTTTTAACCACACATTCTTCCATCAATCACTATTCAAAAACTAATTTTTTTACTAAAATGGGTGTCAAACACCCCTTAAAAAATGAGGAAAAATTGATAAAAGTTGTCGATATCATGAAATGTGTTGTTGAAAATGATTTTTGAGAATAATAAGTTTTAAGAAATTGAAGTCAAATGAGATTTTAATATTGTTTGCGTAAAAAATTATTTTTATCAATATTTAACAAATTTAAACTATGTTTTCTATTTATTTTTTCCTTCCCCTATATTCCATTTAATTGTTATTATTTAGAGGGTGTTTGGTAATAATTAAAATTAAATTTTTAGTGGATTGTCATAGAAGTTTTTGAAATGTATGGTTGAAAAGATGTGAGACTTATGAAATACGTGGTTAATATTGATTGTTTGACTTTGACTTGAATTAAAATCAGATTAAGATCCGGACCAAACGTGCCTTTATATTCGTCCAGATTACTTTTTATTAAGAATTTATTTTATAATTAAATTATGCCCCTGTTTGAGAAACATAAAAAAAAAATTGGAAAAAAAATGAGTTTTGGCACAGTATTTTTTAAAGTTAAATACCCGAACAGATATATGATCGAGAACCGACGGGTTTGGTTTGATTTTCAATTATAGACTAAGAACCGAATAAAAGGCGAATCTTCCAAAAATTTTTAATGGAAATTTCACTCAATTTGATTTTTTAAGATTCAACTTCAATAATTGTATATGTCAAACACCTTGAGTCTCTGTTTGGTGGAGATTAAAATCAAATTTTTAGTAGAATTTAATAAAAAATGATGAAAAATTGATAAAAGTTGTCGATATCATGAAATGTGTTGTTGAAAATGATTTTTGAGAATAATAAGTTTTAAGAAATTGAAGTCAAATGAGATTTTAATATTGTTTACGTAAAAAAACTATTTTCATCAATATTTAAAAAATTTAAACTATGTTTTCTATTTATTTTTTCCTTCCCCTATATTCCATTTAATTGTTATTATTTGGTGAGAATTAAAATTAGATTTTTAGTGGATTGTGATAGAAGTTTTTGAAATGTGTGGTTGAAAAGATGTGAGACTTATGAAATATGTGGTTAATATTGATTATTTGACTTTGACTTGAATTAAAATCAGATTAAGATCCGGACCAAACGTGCCTTTATATTCGTTCAAGTTACTTTTTATTAAGAATTTATTTTATAATTAAATTATGTCCCTGTTTGAGAAACATAAAAAAAAAATTGGAAAAAAATGAGTTTTGGCATAGTATTTTTTAAAGTTAAATACCCGAACAGATATATGATCGAGAACCGACGGGTTTGGTTTGATTTTCAATTATAGACTAAGAACCGAATAAAAAGCGAATCTTCCAAATTTTTTTAATGGAAATTTCACTCAACTTGATTTTTTAAGATTCAACTTCAAAAATCAAATATAAAGTTTATTTATACAAAAATCAGATCATAATTAAAATTTTTAATAATAATAATAATAATAATATATTATTACTATTATAAAATTAATTTAATTTACATAACCTACCCTCACCATTAACCCATCAAACCTGATTTTCACTTTAAAACCCTAATCCCCTTCCTCTTCCTTCATGTCGGAGGAGAGGAGGCGGTGTCAAAGTTACGCTGAAAGCTTTTCGTCGCGGAGTTCAGCTTAATCGAGGACGTTAACGTATGATGTGGAAGATTAGCAATAAGCAGCGCTGGCACCGACACGGGAGCTTGTCAAGATGAAAGCTAAGCTTGTGAGAAATAAATCAAACGCTCAAAGAGCTTTCAACGGATTGAGATTCATTAGCAAAAAAATCGACGAATCGGACTCCAATATGTTGTGGAAACAAACGAAGCTCGATGTTGGAATCGAAGGAGTCTGCGGTGATCGTGTTTGATGCACTGGCATGACGTTGGAGGCAAAAGACATTGAAGATAACCAAGGCAGAGTTGCGTGACTATTGGTTGCAAATATCGAACCAGAGATTCAGTGCACGTCTACAAATTTATGTTTAGGTCGTGGTGGTGGTGTGGTGGTACGACCTTGGTCATTGATGGTGTTGGAGTGGTGATGGCAATGCTATGGTAGCAGATGCACCTAGTAGCGGTGGTTTCCGTTGGTGGCAGTGGAGGTGGGTATTGTTGGATCGATGGTGGATCTAGTGGGGTGGATCTGACGGCTGTGTTGTTGGATTTGTTGGTGGCGATGGCTTTGTTAGGTATGATGGTGGTGGTGGTGGTTATCATTGATACATGGGGTGGTGGTAGTGGTTATTTTTTACACGGCGGCGATGGCAGTACTGGGCGACAGATTTGGGAATTTTTCTGGTGAGATTGTGGTTGTGAAATGGTAGGCTAGTAGTGATGGTGGTGATGTTGGCTACGATGTTTGAGATGGTGGTTTTGCTATTGGGAAGTGGCGATAGTAATTCTGGTAGCGGTGATTTCACCAGCGATGCGGCCGGTGGTAGTGGTGAGGTGGTGATTACAAATAATTTGGTTAATTGTGATTAATAAATTGGTTAATGTGTGACCAATAAACAATATGTGACCAATAAATAATGTGTGACCTAAAAATTATTAATTTGTGGCCAATTAATTTGATATTTTGTGATAATGAAATAAGTCGTGACTTATAAAATTTATGATTTGTGATCAAGGAATAATAAACTATCTATTTGTTGATAAATTTGTGACCTATAAATTTTTTAACCATGATCAATTAATTATTTGTAATCAATTAATTTGATAATTTGTGACCAATTATATAGAATTGTGACCTTATATGTAATTTATAAAATATATTTTTATTAATTATTTCAAAAATGAAATTTAACAAATATCCAATTTTTGAAATTTTAAACATTTTATATTAATTTTGAAATGAGTTATAGCTAAACTCTTAGGTATGCATTTTTTAAAAAAATCTTAAATAAGCCAAATTATTATATATTTTTTAAAGTAAATTTGCTAACTAATTAATTTAACATAAACTCAAAATATGATTTTCCTATTTCTAATTTTTCAGCCCAAGCACAACTTAATCAAATCAACCTATCTCTTATTCTATCGTAGTATCGTTTCTACCGTTTTGAAGAAAATTGAATTGGAAGCTCGGTTGTACCTTTCTTAATTATCGGTTGTACCTTTCTTAATTATCGCGAGCTCACTATCTTTTTCTTCCTATAATTTTAACAGTCAAATTTATGAAAAACTCAATAAAAAGATGCACAAAAGATATCACGGAATTTGACTAAGTTATTTTCTAAGAGTTAAAATTGAATATGTCATTAGTTGAATTAACGTAGTATTGTTGTAAATATTAAAAAAATTATCATTGTACGAAATTCGAGAACCAAATGGAATCCAACTCGAACAGTTCCATAATTAAATTGGACTCAAAGGTTTCACCTACTATATACCCGAAAATTCGAGTTCGATTTTAAATCAACTGAACTGGAATACATCCAGCCCTATTTTTTTAGAGAACGTGGGTTAAAAAGAAGAATTTTTTTTTTAAAATTTAAGTACAATATTTTTATTTATTGAATGTAGGTTTAAAAATGAGTTAAAAATGGAATTTTAAGAAAATGGATGACAAGCAGTGCCAAACATGCTTTATATATAATCAACCCCACGGCTCCACCCGTAAATCTCAGTATCCCTTGTATTATTTAGCCCGATCTTCACCGAGTCGCTGTACGCGTGGATTGTCCGTTAATTCCACATAAACCCAAAAGCTCGAAATTAGTAAAAATGGCGGAAACTGAAACCGTAGTTGATCCTCAGCCCTCTAAAGAAGAAGAAGAAGCTGCAAATGGAAACGAAGAACATATGCCCGATGTTCAGAAACCTAGTGACGATTCCGATTCCGATTCCGATTCCGACGACGAAACTCAAGAGAAGGCCCAAACTGAAGCCCTAGAATTGGAGCTCTACAATAATCCCTCCAATTACGACTCTCATGTTCAAGTAAACACTGATAACGCACATCTCTTCACTCACACACTTGTATTATTGGTCCACGATTAATGATTTTTTGATAAATGAAGTTTCTCTTGATGTTTTGAAAGTTTCGAAGTTAATTATGAAATTATGGTGATATTTATATTGTTATACATCATGGCTGTAATTATTTATAGTTTCTTTCAAGTTAACGATTTAAAGTTGAAGGTTTTCACATCGTCTTTGGTCCTTCAATTATGTGTTATAACTTATAAGATCAGCTTTAATAATTAATGCCTCTTTTTTGTCAAAATAGTAGAGACACTAGTTTTCAGAAGCTATGGAGGTGGTTGTTTGATGACTTTTCATTCTCTGAACTTTTTATTACTTGGTCATTTGAAAGTTAAGTTAATGCGTAATGTTGTTACCTTCTCTATCCACAGGACATTTTGTTCGTCCATGAATGAACTTGAAGATAACTTTCCTTACTGGTAACATGGATTTATATTTTATCTTCTGTGGTTGTGTAGTATATTAAACTTTTGAGGAAGCAAGGGGATATAGATAAGCTGAGACAAGCAAGGGAGGCAATGAGTGCGCTGTTTCCTCTAAGTCCTGAAATGTGGCGAGAGTGGGCAAAGGATGAGACTACCATGTGCTCTGGGTATTTTTTAATATTAACTTTTTGTTTCATTCCACTTAGTTATATGCTTGGATTTATTGTTCTTGAAGAATTATTATTGCAGTGCATGTCATTACTAGCACGATGGCTTGTTTTGTTGTCGAAATTTTGACTCATAACATCATCTGCTTATATTTATTTCTGACTTTTTTTTTGTCATTGTTGTTTTATTTCTTAATGATCCTTTTATCACATATATGTGTTTTGTTATGACTGATATTCTCCTGAAGTCAGAGCTACTTCTAAAGATTTTTAGTGACAATCTATTTTGATTTATGAAAATTAAAGGAAGCAGAAAATAAAATGAAGGAAGGAAGATAAATGTTATACTGGGGTTGGGGAGTAAAAATTTGACGAGGTAATGGGAAGTAGGACTATGAAGAGATAATACATTGCCAATAATTCTAGAGGATAATCTTGAAATCAAAATAAATCATCTTACTGTCTAGAGAACTCCGATTTAGGGAGTGTATATATATATATGTATTTACATTGTACTCGCACACGTGACATGTTATTATTTGATTAAATGTATCTCTACTAATGCCTCCATTAAGATGATGAATTGTAGTTTTTATGTCGAGTGTCCACTAGTCAACGTTGAACTATGAATGCTTTATAAATTCTGTAAAATTAATATTTGAATGTGCGCGAATGTTAATTAAATTATATTTAATACCAGGAAAAATATGTACGATGATAATGTTAAATCATTTATTTAATTTTCAATTAAGTAAAATTAGATGTTCATTAGTATACATAGACGTGAATAATGAAATGCATTCTTGAATGTGAATTCTAATTAACTTATAATTAGAATTAATAACACTAAAATGCATAAATGAAGATAAATATTAATTAAATGAACGTGAATGTTAATAAATTGAGAATTAATAATAGGGACATGGAGATGGACATAGACGTGAATATGAATATGAATGTTAATGTATATGTGAAATTCTAACTAATATTAATTAAATAAATGTGGGTGTTAATTAATTGAATATTAATTATAGTATTTATTACAGTTTGTAAATTAAATACATATCGAAAAACAAAAGTAAGATATTATTGAAATAATTGAATTGTAATAGGGATATAATCGTTAAAAAAATGATTCCCATTTGATGTGACATTTAATATGTTATAGATTTCTACAAAGCTGAAGGCAAATTCTTCTTTTGAATTGTGAACAACTTAATATATGTTGTTCGGCATCTTTGCAATATTTTGTTTTGTAACCGATTTGTGGGTTAGTTTCTCAGTGGTGGTTGGTTTATGGGGGAACTTTGCCCAAGATAGTTCAATGTCTCTGCTAATAATTGCAATATGCGGTTTGCCTGTCTAGATCTACGCTGTAACATTGCAAAAGTTGCTTTGCTTCTCTCTCTTCCTCTAAGAGTCTTGTGCACATTTTTGTATTTGTTTTAATTGTAATTTGATATATTCAAATACTGGATAAATATGGCTGGTTGCTCTATTGTGTCATAATTTGTTCTTCATAGTCTTTTGGCTTTTCTCAACGCTTACTTTTGTTCATTTTACTTTTCCTTCTGCATTCTTTTACAGAGAGGATGCTTTCCTTGAGGTGGAAAAGCTTTTCGAGCAAGGGCTGTCTGATTATCTGGTTTGTTCTGGTGCTTATGGCCAAGTCTCTGTCTTTCTGAAAAGTGAATTGATAAGTATCCCCTACCCCAAATTCCTGACCCAACCCTTGGAAAATTAATTATGTCCACGAGTGAGATACCTGTAGTTTCAAAGTGAAGTACATCTCTGTTTCATCTTTTAGAAATATGAAGCTAAAGGAAAAGAAAAGGCAATTCTTACAGATGAAGGTGCAGTTTATTGAAGAAATATGAGAGTGTCGTTATCACAATGTCTTATATCATGTTTAAGTTGTACAATTAGATTGATGTACCCTTTGATAGTTTTTGTCCAGAACCATGAACATAAAGTAGGATGAATGAGCTAGCTTGAGTTGGGCTTCGTGGTTGGCCTATTTGTTCTTTGAGCCAAGCTTGTATAAGCTCTCCTGGTAAATGATATCAGCAACTTCATCCACTGGGTAGGTAACGATAGAAACATAGTTAAACATATATAACAGAAGTACGAACTGAAACATAGACTTGTATGCAGAAGGGTGCACTCAGTTCTGACTGCTAGTGCGCTTACACATTTATTTTCAAGTACTGTATTATACCCAATTCAACCCATAGGTATATATTTCTATGCATACAGCTCTTTTTCCTCTATGATTCACTTCTGTAGATTTCTTTCCCTTAATCTTAGAGGACTGCTTTGTGTTTGAACTCTATATTCACAAAAAAATGTAGAACTTCTAGTTAAGAGTTGCATCCTACTTCAGTGACTATGCAAAGATTGATAAAAAAAAGTATCGTGGTACATTGAGTATTCAATCTTTGATGCTGGTGAATATGTCACTATTTCTTTAATAAGCTGCCAGTTTCGCATCCTGGCATAGTTGTATGATATCAATATTTTGTCCTTGAATTAGCATGGAGGTAACTTAGTTTGAAATGGTGGCACTTTTAGATCCGTAAGTCGAGAGCACATGAGAATAGAGCGATATTCTGGGATTTAATAGTACCTCTCTGTTGTTTGTAAATATGATATAAATTAGGGAATATACAACATTTATTAGGATGTATTCTACTAGGTGCTATCAATTTCAGCCATGAAATTAGGGTTAGATGAATATTTTTTCTGGGCTGAGGATCACAAAGAGGGTGAAAAAATGAGTGGATCCAGCTTCATTCTCTTCTGCATTATACTTGCGAGCACTTAGTCAAGAAGAAACTGGAACTGTAGAATGTCATATGAATTATTCTTCCGGTGTTTTTTACAGATAAAAAATTAAGCTTCCGATTGGCAAAATTCATAAATCATCTATAAATGGTCAAAGTTCATTTTCAAGGGGATAGCATTTATCTTATGCATGTCCGTGGAATTTTGAAACATCCAAACATCTCATAGGCTTTAAGGGCATCGTAGCATCATCAATAAGAAAACCAATAATGAGTGGGCCCAAATAATTTGATGGGGGTAGTTCACATTCCAATGGATCTTAATTACTATCCACTTGTCCACCATTAATTTTAAGTATTTATAAATTCTTCCCAAATGGAAGCTAAATGTGGAAAATTTGGAAAGCAGAAGGCTTATCTAACTTATCAACTGGAAGTAATTCTGCAGTATTCTAACTCAGCTTGCTTACTATCATGATGTTTCAGAGGAAATGCGAGTAAAAAATTGACTGATGTTTTTCTCTGCAGTCTGTTGCCCTGTGGTGTGACTACTTAAATTTTGTTCAAGAGTATGATACATCGGTCCGTGAATGTTCTACTATTGGTATTTCAAAGGCAAGAAATCTCTTTGAGCGTGCTATTACTGCTGCTGGGTTACACGTTGCTGAGGGTTGCAGTATATGGGAATTATACAGGGAGTTTGAACAAGCTATTGTTCTGACTATTGAGGAAACTGACTCTGAGGTAGGAACTTTTAGCTCTGTTTTCTTTCTGTAGCTACATATAATGACTTTTTTGTCTTCCTGTGTGATATTGGTGTCTGACCAGTATCCACGGTTTGAATGTCGTGTTATTTGTGCAGGAATTATGTATAGTGGCTTTTTTTGTGTGTGTGTGTGTGTGTGTGTGTGTATTTCTTCATTATTGGGCTAGCATGAGATATTGCCTACATTTTCAGTTTTTTGGTCATTTTCATATAGAGGTTATTACTTCCGAATTCATGGATATTGGAATCTTTTGGCGGGAGTGTGGTGATTAATGCAGTTCCTTGGCAGATTTGTAGTCCCAAAAATGGAGCTAAGGCAAAACTCAAAAGGGGCTTTATTTGTCACTTAGAGGGTGCAAAAGTTCTTCCTCTTTGTCATGCAATCTCCTTTTTCTTAAAATATAAATTTGAAAGAATTTATAATGTGGATGGTAAATCTAGAGTTGCACTCTTAGATGTTCATAAGAGGAATTTGATTATAGTTTGCAAGTTGGATCGAGTAAGGAATTTGAAAATACCTCACTGTCCTTGTGGGAGTTAAATTTTCTTAATCTATTGTTTCTGTCTATTAAAATTCATGTTATAGGATTGGCGAAGGTTTACGTTGGCTATCAACCTATCGCAGCCCTCCTGTGCTCGGGCTTGGGACTGATTATGAAAAAGTCTTTAGTTTTTGTGTTTGTTGATTGCTTATATATTAATAGTGAATGTGTGTGATACAAGCTAATGCGGATTCTTGTAAGGCTTACCTTGAAACTAGACACGCATTTTAGCCAAAAAAATATGAAATAGGTTAGAATTTTTTTTTCATAGTTACTAGTTTTAAATTAGATAATTTTCTGTTTCCACCTTTAATATCGATTTTTTTAAGTATAAAAAGACTAGTCCTTTTGAGTTATGTAGACTATTTAAATGATTATTGATATATTGATTGATATTGAACTTTCACCTGCAATTCTTCTCTTGCCTCTCTGCTTCTATTTCTGTCTTCTCTCTTTCTTTCTAGTTTTTGTTTCCATGCTTTGCTCTGGATCAGTTTGTTATTAGAGCCTACTCACTCTTTTCACCCAATCCCAGCCAAACGCTCCATTATGTGGTGTTTTTCTTTAAAAATAACGAGGCACTACTTACCCTATTTGTTTGTCAAAAAACTACACATTATCAATCAGGAATTTCCACTTGGTCCGAGCATTATGTTGCCCTTGTGAAATGTGAAAGTTATGTACATGGGAATAGCCAGGAATTTACAACAGGGTGCTAGAAATAAACTTTTTATGTGGAGTTTGAGAGTAAGAGAATTTTATTTATTAAAAGCTAAAACACACCTAGCTATCGGACAGGCCCACCGACAAGGCTAACAGTGATATGTTTCTAACTCTAAATGTTTTTAAAATATTTCAGCATTTTTTCCTCTATATAAAGACTAAACCAACCTCAAAAGCAACTCGACATTCCTATCACAAATTAATAAAATATATTGGGAACCAAGTTCCCCTCCAACTATTGGCAAGATGAAATTACTAAGGAATAAAATCAAAAGCTCTATGAAATGCTACTATTGTGAAGATTTTACTGTCTAGAGTGTTTTGAGCAACAAATGGTCAAGGTGTAAGGGGCCAATGAATGAGTGAAAAGAAAAGAAGAGATTAGGGGTAAGAAAGGGATAGGCATATTAAAACTTCCCTTTTTATTGTGGCTGGGCAGGCTCTTGCCAATGCTCGATCTGCCCCTGTATAGATACATTGCCGTGTCCTAGCAAAACAATCTTTTATTAAATATACATAACGTAAGGAGAAGAAAGATGTTTGGAGTAGATAGTGGAAGCAAGTAAATGTATAAACAATTTGAACTGCTACTTTTTAGGCTTTTATTCAATTTTTTTCCTGCCTTCTTCAGTTTTTTGAAAAAATTGTCTGCGCAATGGACTCAGTATTTGATCTTGCTCGGTGTTAGGGAAGTTTTTCCCTCTCCTCATCAGAAATGACTTCTAGATAGGTTCTCCCCCTTTTGTGCAATCTGATCTAACTTTGTTGTAAATAAGGAGTATTTCACGAACCACGTCTACTCAGGATTTTAAGACTATGATCATGATCTCTTTTTATCCCAACCCCTTCTCTGCTTTTTGGCTTATATTGTTGTTTTTGTTAAGTCACAAGTGCTGAAGACTCCACTTTGTACAAAAGATATCACCCTTTTATAGGTGAGAAGTTGCTCATACTCCACAGTAGGGATATGTATTGTGGGTGTTTGGTGGAGATTAAAATTAGATTTTTAGTAAATTGTGATAGAAGTTTTTGAAATGTGTGGTTGAAAAGCTGTAGGGCCCATAAAAGATGTAGTTAATATTGATTGTTTGACTTTAACTTAGATTAAAATCTGATTTTAATCTTAAACAAACAGGGCTATTGTATGAAAGAACTTATTAGTTATTGGATTTTGCCTTGATGAACTATTAATCGGCAGCCATTAGACTATGCCTCAAAAATAAGTTGTTTCTTGATAATTAGAACCTTTTTCAGCTCAGATAAGTCTCACATTACGCTGAAATTGTCTTTTGCAGGCAAGAGAAAAGCAGATACAGAGAATACGGAATTTGTTCCATCGCCAGTTATCTGTTCCCCTTGTTGACATGACATCAACTCTTCTTACGTACAAGACCTGGGAAGCAGATCAGGGGGTCACTGTGGATGTCAATAGTAGCAAATGCGATGGTCTTCCCTCTCATTTTGTGTCTGCATATCAAAGGGCATTGGGGATGCTGAATGCTCGTGCTGATTTTGAAGAAAAAATTTCCAAAAAGGATGTAGACGACTCTGAAAAACTTAAAGAATTCATGGTGTGTACTTGCTTTTTAATGTTTACCATCCCACACCAAAAACAGAAGCTCACTCAGCTCAATACAACAAAGCTTTACACATGATTGTGTGGGTCAACTACACGGATATTTCTTTTCAACTTCACACTATTTCACCTATGAAGACATTCATAATTAACCTAGAAAGATTCAAATACTTTTTAATTAACTCATTCATGTGACTCTAGGTCACTTCTTCCTCTATGTTCAATATTAATATTAGCTCCACGAATATTTGAAGAGAGAAAACATGGAATATTTCAAAAATCTGTAGCACAGTGAGAAATCTTATTATGGTGATTATAGCTAGTAAGTACTGGTAATAGAAAGCATATAGTATACATGTGTATTTGATTATTCCTGGTTTGCGTACACTTTCTGAATTCAAAGAAGAATATATGAGTCATTCATGTGGAGATGTATAGTACACCTTATGCAGGAATCCAGTGTATATTTAGAGAATAATATTTTTAGTTGGACCAAATCTAATAGCAATTGCTTTAGTTTGACAAAAAATGTTACATTTTTCATTTTTATCAGGAATTGAGTTTTGTGATAATAATTTTAAAGTTTATTATATTATTATATTTTGGATTAATTTGTGATGTATGTGAATTCTTTGAACGCTTGTTCATGAAATCTGACTGACTATTTTTAAATATTGTTTATATTATATGATAATTGTAATTGAATTACTTAGTAGCATATTTAAAAGAGCTGCAAAATAAACTAATAACGACAGAATCATGCATGACTATATATTCTAACACGCCAATATGCAGTATATAAATCCAAAGTTTTACTTGTATTCGTGTTATTCCTTATTTCTATATTACAATTTATTCGTTCTGGTATTTTTTAATTTAACCTTTCACTCTAATTATTAAAAAATCATACTGTATTCGTACAATATTATATGGTAAATGACCAGTGTCAGAATATATATTCTTCACATTTTAAGAGCTTGCTACTTTATTTTCTTTTTAAATTTATCTATCCATGTAAGTATTAGGAATTCCTCTTTCAACTCATCTAAAAATAGGCGTAATGTCAAAAAACTAACTTCTCATGGATTTTATGAATTTTGAGGGCAATTAGAAGTTGAAATTGAGGGGACTCCTCACCAGTTGAGTATTAATATATAAATAAAAGCTGCATTTAGTTTCAAAAAACTTAAAGGTTAATTAATATTGATCATCAACATAATACTCTAGTAAATTTTACTGAGCTTTTCATTTCACTGCAGACTTACTTGAAGTTTGAGCAGTCATCAGGAGATCCAGCTCGTGTAAATATCCTGTATGAGCGTGCTATAACTGAGTTTCCTATATCCTCTGATCTATGGCTTGATTATACTCGGTACTTGGATAAGACATTCAAGGTTTTGTTTCTCATCTTCCTCCTCGATAAATTTTGTATTTTCTTTGACTATACAAATGACATCTTGACGTATCGTATATTTCAGACCTCGAAAATTGTAAGGGACGTTTATAACAGGGCAACAAGAAACTGTCCCTGGGTTGGAGACTTATGGGTTTGCTATTTACTCTGCTTAGAACGATGCCATGCTTCTGAGGAAGAATTATCAAGTGTCTGTTACTAGACTCTCTTTATACGTGCTCCAAAATATTTGTGGTTTAATTCTCATAGATCATTTTTTTTCTCTAGGTAGATTCATTCAATTGTGGACTTAAAGTTCATTACGTCAATATTTTTATAGAAACACATTTTTGGCCCTTTCTCACTCATCTAAAAGAGTGCAGAAGGGATTTGATTCTAGACTTAACCGACAACCATTATTTTAATCTCTTCCTTGGATTAAACTTCTGAATCTCTATAATTTTTTGGGTTTGACAACGCATGCAAATTAATATGCCATGTTACAGTTGAGCATATTTTGAATATATTTCTGTATGCATGTTTTATGTGTTATGGACTTACAATATGTTCCCTTTGGCAAGCAATAAAGAATTACATAATTTATTGACACGTTAATAACCTTCACAATATGTTGTGATGTCATGATGTTACTGCCTTTCTTAAGCTTTCTACCATCCTATGATAATGGTTCAAAAATCTGTCTGAGCTATGAATGTAATCACATTTGTTGCACAGACACTTTATCTAAAGCAGCGTGTCCGCGTTCGACACGTCCGACACTTGTCGGATATTGACAGTCCTCGAGAACTCTACCAGGATCATTTTTCCTTTATCAGAAGTATTATATATTTTTAAAAGATTTCAACAAAAAAAATAAAAAAATAATAAGTATAAAACTAAATTTATACTATATAAATAAAGAACCTAATGAATGTATTGGCAACGTGTCGTGTAATTTTTTTTTTAAAAATCGCGTGTCGGAGTATCCGACATGTGTCCGCGTCGGTGCATCATTAGTCTAACCACACTTAACAGCAAAACCACTTGCATGAAAAACCAAAATCTCACCTTTTTGTTCAAAAGAACTAGGTGCCCTTATATTGCAATTGTGGCTGACCTTGAATCAGAATTCATGATGCACCAAGTTTTGAAATTCAACCATATAAACCAATATGCTATTTTGAAGTTAATATTTATGCAATTGAAAATGGAAAAAAAATAAAATGTATATTGATATTATTTACAGTCAAAGCTTGAGATAAGCTGTATCCACTCATTTAATCTACATTTTTTTCTGTTTGAAAGTATGCTGAATTTATTCCTAGTTTTTGTTTCCTTTTACTCATTCAATGTTGGATATGCTGCTGCTTGTCTTTGTTGAAATGCAAATTTCTTTTATTTTTCTTGTCATGTTAAGTTGTACTGTTCTTCCTCTTTCCCTGTTTTTCTGAGTGGATGTGATGCCTTTGGTTGAAGTCATTTGCTAATTTATTTGTGTTGCTACCTCCAATACATAAATTTTTCTTTTTGTTTGGGCTCTTCTGCTTAAACAATGCTTTTCTTTTCCTTTCACATTTCAGGTATTTGAGAAGTCACTGCAATGCACATTCTCAAGCTTCGATGAGGTAACTTGTGTTCTTCGGTGTGATTAGTTAATATGCGAACTGATTCCTTTATTTTATGCTCCATTGTTTGAAGATGAGAAGATAATTTCCTTTGTTCATAAGAACAAGGACGTCTATGTGAAGCCCTCTCTGGATCTTTTTGAAAGCTACTTATTATAATAACACATGGTAAAAACCTTGACAAATTTGGTGGAACTCTCCTAGCTCATGTTAACTTTTATTTGTTGCGAGTGTGCTTCAAGAATTTAAATACATAAGCATGGAGCTATATTGGTTGGAAAGGGGCAATAATCTTCGAAAATGGGGTGATAAATCTAGACTAGTAAGGTATGAAGACAAAATGTCAACTCAGGGGTTATATGGGATGTCTTTTTCCTTTTCCTGAAGTTGAGGGATTAATGAAGCAACAGATTGATGAAGATGATGTGTTCAAGAGCTAAAGGAATTTCTAAAAGGTAATAGGGTCCAAAACTCTTCCACATTTAGAAGGATTATTGACAAACAAAGCATGAAGACATGAAATGAACTCATGCTATTAAATTTTTTCCTAGTGGCTTCTTTTTTGTATTTTGTAATCTTGGAGCTATATATTAGCAAATATTGTTGAAGCATTCTATAATTCAGTAATTAGCCAAGGATTGTCTGCATTCATCAGGTAATGGCAAATTCATACTATTCATTCTACCCTTGAATCCCTGTAATCTCGTTAGCATCTTAATTGATTCTGTAAAACCTCTTGTTTGAAGTTCAAACTGGGTATTAGTCACAATGCTGGCTCTTAGCATAAGTTTACATTTATTTGCTTGATTATTGGATTGAACCTAGTTAGTGGTCCTCGGTCAATTTTGTGACAAATTCTTTGTACTAATGTATACTCATCCCAACTTACGAATTGTTACGCTCCATCAAACCTGGCATTACAATGAAAAAGAATACCCTTTATTTCGGTGTAAACGACAAGGTGGTTTAGTGACCTCTTTAAAATCAAAGAGGCAACTGGCTTTCAACAACATGAGGGTGTGGGGATCCATAAGAATTTGTATTCAGCCTCCTCCAACTCTGGGCTTTAATATGATAACTTCCTCACCACAATACCTGGTGCTGTAAATGTCATCACTCTTCAAGGAGTCCCATTTCTTTTAATGGAGATGCTTAGCCATCCTCCGAGGGTTAAGACCCCATAAGAGATCAGATTGTGAACAGAGTAAATTATTTAAGAGTGAGTGAAGTTCTTGGGAAGATTTAATTTGTTATGTCTCACCACTGGTTCTTTGGATCCAAATCTGTGATTAGAAATGTGTAGACCTTTGATTATCATGTCTATGGGAAATGGGTAACTGGAGATCACATCGGATATGCGAGATAGAAAGCCAATAGATGGGATGCACACAAAAGCGTGTTTGGTTTGATTTGTTATTCAATGTGCGCGTTATTTGTTGGCTTTTTTAGTTTTTGTTTTTTCAAGTGTAGGGGGAGGGAAGAGGGGGAATGCACTGGTAGTATCTTTTGTTCATGTATTTAAACATCTTTGGTTCATATTCTTAAATTTAAAAGTGAGGATGGGAATCAGTCATTTATTTGTATGAAAATGTGTACATAGTCTGAAGAAGCGTATGCTGCCAATGAACAATTACACATGTTTGCTTCAACTATTTTTTTTTTCCCTATAGGATTTTATTTTGGAATTGTAAAGCTGTAACACTTGGTGTTACATTAGTGTCTGAATTGGAATCAAATTTGCTATTTCAGTACCTGAATGTATTTCTCACCAGAGTAGATGAGTTAAGGAGGAGAATTTCTGCATCGACTCAAGTGGAAGATGGCATAAATTATGCTGTTATAAGGGATATATTTCAGGTTTCCATTTCTGTGTTTTAAACTATTGAGTATTCTCATGCTGTTTTACTATGTTTGAACTAATATATCTTTAGTTGTTATGTTGTTCATTCCCTGCCCGTAGTTTTCCTGTGTATGCACGTGGTTAGCAATTATTTTGTCAACCATTTGGCTGTGGTACCTTTTTTTGTCGCCTCAGTTTTGGCTTTCTAATGCTTTGTCTGGCTGATCGCAACATTTGCTAAAGATGTATTCGACTTTTCCCAAAATCTGAAAAGCCAATTTATTATCCATTTGTTCCACTTGTTGATTTTACTTAATTTGATGGCTTATTAGAGTTTTCTATATATAAAGACTCTGCTTGAGGGTCAGGGATTTTATCAAAATAAGGATTCACGCTTAGGTAAGGTGACAAAAGTGCCCAAAACTTGGGTCAACTAGAAGAGGCACATGCCTATGCAATCGATGCCTTGCCCCCGACTTAAAGCCAATCTCCTACACTTAATGACTTGGGAAAGTTTAAAGTGGAATCTTTTTTGTATCTTCCCTTTTATTTACTTTTATTTCAGTAAGCACTATTGCATAGGCCTATAATTATATTTTGAAAGCATAGTTCTACGTTTTTTCTTCTGAAACTATCGAAGCGAGTGCTCTACTTTCTCCGAGAAGATAGTAATAGGACAAAATTCCCGAGTTTCCATAAACTCATGCTTTTTAGTTCTATTGGAGTTATGTAATTTAACCAACCTTTAAAAGGTGTAATCGGGTACCAAGGCTGCCCAGACATAAGTTTGAGGCTTAAGCCTCATAGTAAACCAAAAAATGTCAAAAATTAATGCAAAAATAGGTGCATAATAAATCACAAACATTCTATTTTAAGTGTGCAAATAAACTAACAAAAAGGAAACTGTTACTTTAGTTGGTGGGTCAATAGACTATTTACAAATTGGGTCAATGAGAAACACAATTTTTTAATGAGGGCATTGGGTTATTCCGAAAGTGGGTCAATTAGAATTCTTAATGTTTTGTGGGTCCACACCGAAAGCAAAGTAAATAAGCTTGGAAAATTAAGGAATGCGCGCCTCACAAGCCTTGAGGCTTGTGCCTCATTCGATTGAGGCGTGCACCTCCAAAGACTGCCTCACGATTAGCACCTTGAGATGTTCTTTGTTCGTCTGAGACGTGCCTCCGTCAGGATATTTTAAACCATGAATCTAAATATTGATATGAATGAACTTGTCAGGGCATCTAAAGCATGCAGGATTGTGCTTTTTCTTAACTTATGAACGGCTAGGTTTTGTGCTTTTAATTTTATCTAGTTCTTGATAATAGGTGTCAGACTGTAGCCCATCTGTTCTGTGAATCACTAGCAACCCAGTCCAGGTTATTCTATCGATATTGACAGAAAACAGATAAGCAAACAATAAATAACGAGTAAAACGAAATTTCTGGAAAGAATGCCCCACTGGGCGCAAATACTCATATTAAAAGGAATAAATTTAGTAATGTAAGTTGCAGAACTTTTTAAAAGATCTTATTTGACATGTTGCAAAAATATACTATAGATTAGGCTGCACCATTTAGAGGACAGATTTTATCCCTAATTTTTTTTTTTTTGAAAAATCTGAATGTGAAATACAAAATCTAATTGACACTACAAAATACATTCTTACGAAAAGAAATAAAAGGATGCCCAATAAAATGACAGATTACTGTTATGGAGTATGCAGTGGGAATGGAATTAATTGATCTTAAAAGCAACATGAGGGAAGAAAAAGAAAAGGAGATGCTATTTCATTGAGTACCTGAAAATGGTCATCATTTGCAATTATTGTCTCTCTTTGTGATAATTTAGTCAGATTGGGAGTAATAATTTTTCTTTAATGCCTCCAGAAACAAATTAACGTTTTCAAGCAGGAAAACCATGAATTATAATATGGATAATAATATAGTCATTCAAATTTTTTGTTGCTGTTTCTTCAATGAAGCTTCCTACCTTGTGCTGCTTAGCATATGTAGTCAGTTTTCTGTTGAGCAGGAACTCAGATAGATTTCACCATGTCCCTTTTTGCTGCTAAACCAGAGTCTGGAAAGCTGCAAATTTCTTCTTTTGAATTGCTTGATTCATATTTTGGTAATTAATGTGTTCTTCTCTACGTTGCACACACTTAATTTTCATTCACAACTCCAGCGCGCATCAGATTACTTATCACCACACCTCAAGAATACGGACAGTTTTCTTCGCATGCACAGTTATTGGGCTCATTTAGAGTCAAAATTGGGCAAAGATATGATTGCAACTCGTGGTGTCTGGGAGAGCTTGCTTAAAATTAGGTATCTTCATTTTTTAATTCCTTTTGGTTGGTTGTGGTGGAATACTCAATCTATTCAGTTGATATTACATTGCTATTTTTCTATCAGTGGATCTATGCTGGAAGCTTGGCAAGGTTATATAGCGATGGAAATTGAAATGGGCCATATAAATGAAGCTAGATCCCTCTACAAGAGATGCTACAGTAAAAGGTTCACTGGGACAGGCTCAGAGGTAGATTTTGCTCTGTATTAAATTATTAAAGCCGTGTAATATTTTGCCTTTTAACTTCTTTCAATTTCTTTACTTCGTTTTGATTCCTTCATTCTCGTCTTTAGGGATAGCACGGGATAGACAGAAAGTTGTCCTAAACATGCTATAAACCACAAAGTGAAATGGTTTTAGTAATCATGATTTAGATTTGTATTTGAAAGTTCTAATGGAACAGCAAATTGCATGAGGTTTATTTCAGATTACATTTTGTGTCTGATTATTATAAATTGCTGAGGGAATATACGGTAGAAGAATAAAGTATATATTTAATTTACAATAAAGGAAATGGAGGCTTGGTTACATAATTCTTAAATTGCAGTAGTAGTCCATGTGTATTGTTGTCAATAGCAAGCCCAAGTGTGACTCTGTGCAATGCACACATTTTTTGGTGAAGCCTGAAGGGGACCTTATTTTTTATTTTTTTTATTTTAGTGCTTTTTCATCTGAAACACATGTTTTGTAGTTGATATGTGGTGTTGATATTTGCATGCTGAAATTGAATTGTTGACAAAATGCGTAGAATAAATTTTAAGTCATTGGTTGATAATGGAATGGCTAGCTCATGATATTTAGTAATAAAATTGTGAAATTGGCCTCAAAAGCTTGTGAATCAGCCCTATATGTGAGAAAACACTCTTCTAATTGCAAATCTAGGTCTGTGTATTGGTCGCATGGGAGGAAAGGTTTTACAATGAACAATGTGAAATAAGTGTGTGTATGTCTGTTCAGATATTAAAAAAAAGTTTATTTCTGTGATTTTTACAGCGAAGAAATAGTGCAAGTTAATAAAGCTCCAAATTAGAAATGGGTTTTTGCAATTTATTTCGGAAAAATGGTAGTGTTATTTTTTTGACAACCCATAACGGATTTGGGGATGAAGGGGAAACTTTTATGTGCTTTTACAGGCTTGATTTAAAAGGTCTAATCTACTAACATAGTCGTATGTGTATTTTTAAATTGTTTACTTGCTGGCAATAATGATAGAAAGATCATATACAAGCAAGCAAGCTAGAAAGTCAGAATGTATTGATTTCCTTGATCCAAATGCATGCCTCATTAGAGCAATTATTTAATCTTACTTTGTCTTTGTTTCTTAAGTTGTCCTCTTTTCTGTAACATTCAATTTCAATATATATTGTAGCTTGGATTATATGATACCTTCATTTCCTAAAACACAGAATCATTCAGGAAATTTGTCATTCGTGGGTTCGTTTTGAAAGAGAATATGGTTCGCTGGAAGACTTTGATCTTGCTGTCCAAAAGGTACTTTTTTCCTGCTACTGCCAATTTTAATTGTTCATATGCCAAGGGAACATTCCTGTTATAATCTTCTTTGTATTCTTTGATGTGGTACCAGAAAAAGTTGTAAATTATGCGTTTTTGAATTTAGCATTGAGCTATCTTCTGCCTTAATAATTGGTGTTTATAGAGAATTTTTATTTCTTGAATCTATATACTTGTGGAATTCCAATTCATCCATTTGCAATATACATCAATGCTTTCAACCTTAATCTTCAATGAAGTTTCCAGCCATGAAGTTTTACATCTTCAACTATGTGTGCCCAAAAGTGCTTTATTGTGTTTTTACTGCCTCATTTTCTTTTGAGCTGGTTTTAGGCTTCTTTTTGCTCAATTGTTCCTCCTGCTTGTTTTCTGTTTTGTTTTTCTTTGGGTGGGGTGGCATGGATTCCGTTTGTCCTATGTACAAATATCAATCTCTTACTGATTTGGGTTGTTAACTAGAAATACATGGGCAGGAAAGTAAAGCCAAATTACAAGAATCCCTGTCCTTTATGAAGCTGTAGATGATCGGGTTTAAAATAATTTTTGTTCTCAGTACCAGTTATTGCAAGTGCAGTGCAGCGAGTAGTTTCTTTAACTGGCAATTTAGCCACTGTTATAGTGAATACAGATGGATACACGAGTACTCTGGATAATAGCAGCAGTAGTTGTATTGGATGTATTCTGGGGAATTATTTTTTAAGTTCGGGTCATTTTCAAGCTTCATGAAATGTTCCCTGAGAATGCATTTAGGATTCGGGACTCTTCCATAGTCTGGAGGAGGAGTAGGAGCTACCCAACAATGCAAAGAGTGGCATTGCAAAATGTTTGTGTGTGTGTATGCATACCAGTGTATGTGTGGTTCCTATCTAAATGGAATAGATGAAGTAATTTTTGGACTTCTCAAAGATTTGGGATTTTAATCCTTGGTTGGGAGAACTGTTTTTTTTTTCATGTCTAGGACAAAATTGTCTTTTTAAAAATATTTTTGTTTGTTAAATGAGGATAAGGTCAAATTGTCCAGTAGGGATCAAAGTTTACTAAAGCGAGAGGTTGGGGACATAGTTGCTCCATTTTGAAGGTTGGAGATCTCTGCTGCTATTTACCCTTTTCATTCAGCATAGACTTGACAGGCTTATCTAATGTGAAAATAATTACTGCTAAAGGGAAAAAACAGTAAGAATTGCATTTTAGACATAAGCTTCATTTTTTTCCTTTTCAAGGATTTTTTCATTAGAGAACTATACTGATTATCATTTTTTTTTCTTATATTTAAATAAAGTTACATTTACTAGTAACCACAGGATATATATGACTAACAGAGTATGGCATCCTGGAAAACACTTCAAACCAAATTTTGCTAATGTTTTCTGCTATCATTTCTCAAATATTGTCGCAGGTGACTCCTCGTCTTCAAGAGTTGCATCTATTCAAACTGCAGCAGGAGAACCAAACTGTTGGTGCGCCAACAGATGAGAGAGAAAATTTAGTTAGGAAAAATTTGAGGGAAAAGAGAAAGCCAGTTTCAAGTTCAATGGATGAGCAGTCTCCAGCAAAACGTAGGAAAGATTTGGATCAGAAAAATAATAAAGCTTATGGGAATGATAAAGGTCATGGAAGACACTTGGCTGAAGCAAATGAAGTTGCTCAAGTACATGACAGCAAAGCAGACAGTGCTAGCACTAAGGAAACGAAGAATCATTCTCCTAGAAAACCTGTTATATACAGTGATCAATGCACTGCCTTCATATCTAACCTCAGCCTTCAGGCATGTTTCCTGCTCGTCACTTCTTTTTTAGGAGGCTCGGCTCTAAAGCACACAAAAATCAATAATGTAATTTTACTAACGATGCAATGATAACTTTCCACAGGCAACTGATAAGGATCTCCGTAGCTTCTTTAATGACGTTGGAGGAGTGGGTGCTATTCGGATATTAACCGACAAGGACAAGAGACCAAGGGTAAGGCTCAAATTTTATTCTACTCAAGTTGGGTAGTAAATTGATAACAGAACTAAGTGTGAGATGATATAGCTGTTCTTATAAACATGCTGTGTAATCAAGGTTTGATGACCTTTCTTGGGTCCTTGCGACAATTTTTTAACCAAAAAGATTTAAGGAAATGTTGCTCTGTCACTTTGGCATGGGCTGAACCAAGATTATATTTTATTTTGGAGATAATTAGGCATGACCACTTCTAAGATCATTGCAGATTATGGCATGGTTTTTATTGTATTTAATTCTTTGCAAAAATATCTGCTTTTGATAAAAGGAAATACCTTTTTTCAAAATGTTCCTCTCATCTGTGAAAAGTAATTTCTGGATTCAACTCAGATTTGAATTTCCCACTTGAATTTTGAGCAACTTCCATGATATACCCAAGTCATATCTATTTTCAGCTGTCTGAGATTGCGGGAAAATCTTCAGATTGAGTTCCCAATAATGTTGGGCACTAGATTTGTTATGGTATTTATTATTCTACGTGCATGCATTCCCTTCTTTCCTGTGTTTTCTGAGCTGAACTATCGGCTCCCTTCTCCCATTCTTAGATTTATTATATAAGATGCTTAATACTAGTTGTCTTAAGTTTGAGATTTCAAGGGAACAATCGGCCATGTTTTTTCTCAATATTTGTCATGTCAGTTACCTGCAATATTCTTATTGGAGATGAAAGCAACCCCCCCACCCCCCTCTTTTATTTTCTGTGCTTCTGGATGAACCAGCAGCTCTCTGGTCCCAGTTTTACATTTGTTGTATGAGATGATCTCTTTGTTGCCTTTGTCTGAGTAATAATTACTTGTAGTTTTTGGTTGCTTTTAGCGCCCAAAGAGTTCTAGCTTTTCTACATCTTACAGGGCAGTTTGAGGACTTCGTAATGTTGATTCTTTATGTCTCCTTGGTTAATTTTTTTTGTCGTGGTGGCGTTGTTTTGATTTTCTGTTACTCCCTGGACAAGCTGTTTGAAGTTGAATGGTTGTATCATGAATGTTCTGTTGTCTTTGCACTGTTATTATTAGCTTACAAAGTCGAGCAATAGTGCCAGTGTTTGAAACTATTCTGTTTTATTTGCTTCTTGTTATGAAGCTTATACAGTATTATCTCCCTTTTGTAAAATTTGTCATTGTATAATCACAGTTGCAGAATTACAGTCGTTATGATACTAATACATTTTCTTATGCATGAGTTGGAATTTTGTGTTATTGTCAGCATTTTAGGGATATGGAGAAAAGATTTTAGCTAGCAAACCACCTTTTCATTGTCAAATGTCCGTCTGTGGACTTGAATAGTACAAGTATTACTGCAATAATTTCATCCCTAACCCCTTGGGGAAAGAAGACAAAAAAAGTCAAAATGAGCCTAGACAATATTCACGATTTATCCAAATCTTTTAATAGAGTGATCATTTGCAGTTGATGGTATTATTCGTTTGAATTTTTCTGTTGATGGTCTGTCTGTCCTTATTATTCTTATGTCAAATATATGAAGGGGTTGGCATATGTGGATTTCTCCGATGATGCACACCTGGCTGCAGCTGTGGAGAAGAACAGACAAAGTTTACTGGGCAAGAGATTAAGCATTGCAAGGTCAGATCCCCAGAGAGGCAGAGGGAAAAAAACTGCTGGGCGTAGCTCTAAATTTGACCGTGGTATGTTGAGATAGTAGTTTTTTAAGAATCACCTAGTCTCCATCTCCACGTAATGAATGTGCCTTCAATCCCCCTGATCATTGAGTTATGTCTTGCCTTCAATCCCTATGATCATTGAGTTATGTCCGTGTTTCTTTTAGTCTGCCTTTTGAGTGCATGAAAACCAATCATGTTCAGGACATAAACTTTTCAGTACCTATGTTTTGAATTGAAGATTATTTGTTTTCAGGACTTATTTAGGCAAACAAGTAGAATTCGTGTTTCTTACATAAATAGTTCAAACGCTACTTGATGTGTTTCTTTACTTAAAAGGCACTGTTTCTTAGTCTACATCCATGGGAAAGCAAAACACCAAAATCAATACTAAGTCTACTGATGTTGTCTAACTGTTAGGTCAAAGAGTTGAGATACAAAGTTCCCGTTTTCAAGCATGTGTTCCAAAATACATGGTTTTTCAGACTTTTCCTTAGCTGAACATTTGATGGAATGACGTCTTTGCCTCAACTCTCTACGGCTTTTGATCACGATTGACATTCATGCAGCAATTATGTCTAGGTGTGGTGTGTAATATATTGTGAGAATGATATTTTATTACACGTGTAAATTCAAAACCTGCTCTCATGATTCTGGAAGTCATTTTTGGGTCATCCAGTAGAGCTACCCTCCATGGTTTCTGATTAAGTGACCACTTGAAATTAATTCATGCTACTTGCAGTTGTCTCTCTGATGCTTAAATATTGTCAACGTCTCATTTGCCTTAATATATGTGCCAAATTTGAAATTATAATGTTCGTTTTTATTGTTGCTATGCCTCAAACTTGCTGGGACTGCTGATAATCGAAGAAGTAATGCAGGTGAAATGAATTCAGAAGTTTCTGTTGAGTCTTCCAAAGGGAGAAGGGGACCTCAGCCACAATCTGCCGGTCAGGGGCATGGAGATGATGTGCAGCTGATAGGGAAGAACACATTTGCTATGCCAAGAAACGTGCGAGCCCTGGGTTTTCCCAGCAGGGATAAGCCACAATCTGGAGAAGCTAAGGAATTGGGAGACGAAAATCCAAAATCGAATGATGAGTTCAGGAAGATGTTCCTGAAAGGTTGACACTGGAAAAAGGATCGGGTTAGTTTCTTGTCATGGATATTAAGATTAGACTCATATGAAGTTCTCTACTGAATATGTAGTGTTAAATGATGTGGTTGCAATATAACATTGCATTAATTTCCTGAGATGTTGTGACGTCTTTGTTTCTCTTTGTTGGTGCATGTAAGCTTTTATGTTGATTTGTGAAAATTGTGGTAACTCTTTAGATATGGGAAGCAGAATAGGGTGCTTGTAGATTTGCTTCTCTTTATTCATGTACTAATATACATTTTTAATTTCTTTTTTGTTTATTAACTTTTAAATGTTCTTCATTGTCAAACATGTTATGTCTGCACTTCACTAGATATGTTGGGGTGAGTGAATAGTTTGTTCTTGGTTCTTTGGCCTCGTACGTGTCTTCTTTTTCCCAAATTATACGGAACTGCTGTAGTAATAGCTCATGCGAGTCTGAAACAAGAGATGGTTGTGCTAAACAGTGCTTGTGAAATTGCTGTACAAAATCAACTTTTGGGTTTTCTTGCACGGGACAACCAATCTGACACAGTACCATACAGATGCAATACACAGAAATTGATGCAATGAGATGCATAAAATATTAGTTGGGAAATTTGTAACATACAGTCGGGTGAGTGAAAATGGCCCCAATGGGAGGGTCGCATGGTTAGTTCAATGTGCTCATCGACGCTTGACCCTAAGATGTGGATCATCTAAGGTGTATATCGCAATGTAACTTGTAACTAAGGATAAAGAGAGGTTAACTAAATTGATGTTTGAATAAGGTGTTATGCATGAATTTATGTGAATGAACTCAGTGTCAAAGGCTGGGTGCGTGAATGCTGAAATGGTCCTATATTTATAAGAGGGGTGAAGAAATAAATTAGAAAAGGTTGTATGTGTTGGTTGTGCCCAGTTTTTATTATAGTAAAAAGTATAGGTGAAGGTGGGATGCAAAGTGCATGCGTTGCTCCCTCCTCTCTCTCTCTCTCTCTCTCTTTATCTGGTTCTCTTGCTTTAGAGAAAGAAAGAGAGAATTACAGGCTTTGTCCCATTAATTGCTTTCTTTCACCTTGGATCACTCACTCTTCTGAATTCTTCAGCTTTCTAAACACATTCGTCATCTAATTTTTACAGTTACCCTATGCATCTTTTAAATATTATTGGGTGGGATGATCATACCACTCTTTGTAGTTGTACCATACGAACTTAAGATAGAACAGGTTTTGCGCGTAATATAATCTTGTTATATTCTTCGTCATCATGCAATGTGTGTGGTATTTTGAAGAAATGTCGCTGGTATTTTTGAAATTTGTAACTGCATATATGTGACAAGACCAAATTGTCCAATCTCTTATCCATGTCTTCATTTATGCAATCAAATATTATTCGCTTCGTAGCGTTGCATAGTAAGAATGTAGTGCACGTGGTCAGAGGCGGAGCCGTAGGTCCCGGCAACATTTTAAAAATTTCTCAATATATACATAAAAACTATATTAAATTCTGAAACTCGAGCATTTTGCCATGAATAAGTATACGGTGGTAAAAAAATTACTTTGTGGCGCAAACGGGGTTCAACACTAATATAATTTTTCCCTTTTATTTTTATTATTATGTTGAAAGCTTGCACAGTTGATCTTAGAGGAAATTTCACGTATTACCCATTTTAAAATAAAAATTCATATAATACATTCCAACATTTTTTATACAATTATTACTGCATTTTACCAAGTAAAAACCAAAAACAGGACACAACTATGTATAAATTGATTTTATTGCACAGCTTCTATTACTCCACCAAATAATCCCCAATTTTATTTTATCAAATTCCCAAAATTTTAGTCTTTATCAGAGAAAGAATTCCATAAAATCAAAATCCCGAATTCTCTAATCCAGAAAATCACAAATCACCCTATAGATAAATCCCCTTTAAACCTCATTCTGCGATACAAAAAAACACATAAAAAAAATGTTTTACGACATTCATGTATGTTCCATGATTTACCATTTTTCTGCAATGCATACGTATCATATGTCAGAACACGCAAACATTATAAAATTTACATTGCAGTAATTTTGAATTGGTTAACTCAAAAATCTGGACAGAAACGATCAAAGATGAAATTGCGTTTGAAAAACATAAAAGAATCTTGATGCATATAATAAAGTTGTAAATGCGGCAGAGGATTCAAAGCAAAATGCTTTTTTTTCTTTTTTTTTTTGCTTTTCCAATTTAATTATATTTTAAATTAATAAAACGTAGTGAATCATTGAACAGAGGGGTGGGATTGTGGGGTAATGAAAATGAAACATACGAAGGGATTGTGTAAAAGGAAAGGTAGTCTTTTTATGTATTTGTCCTTCTTTATGTTGCTTTGAATCTCATGCCTTCCCTGCATTGCATGAATCTCTCTCTCTCTCTCTACTCCAGACAAATTTTTAAAGCACAAAGAATGTTCCCAACAGTCACTTTTTATTTTCTTGCTTTTTTCAATTATTGAAAAAAAAAAAAAAATTTACTGTGGTACAAAACACATGGGTTATGAAATGCCGAAATCGATGAGGTATTTTTCCATTTTTTAGCAAAGGTGTAGATACAAAAGAGTTTAGGCAAGAAAATGGAAGAATTCATGCATGATCATTGTTACACTTGAATTGCAATTATATTGAAAAAGAGAATGAATTGGAGGAAATCTTAGAAGTCAGATCCAGGAGTAGAAATTGAGACAAATGATAATCTGACAGCTTTCAGGATCCTATGACTATAAGCAAAGTAATGCCCTTTTCAGAAAAACTCAATCCTAAGGAACCCAAGGATAAAGAGAAGTAACATTCTCCTCAAACCTATAAAAATTTTACAACATATAAATATAAAATAATAATCAATTTATAAGGATCGGAACTATTTATCTTAACAAGGTTAGATCATTTAAGGTAGTGCTTTAGAACTCAGTTGATATCAAAATCTAAAAAGTTTTAAATCAGCTTTGATACGTTTAAAGTTCAAATGAGTAGTCAGATTTCAAGAGTTTGATCGCTTTTTTACGAGACATTTTCAAGTTCAAAATCTTATATTCTATAAATATGAAATCAATAATCGACATGTGATGACCAGGATCCCTCTTCTCGATATCTTGCCCTAGTCATATTATCTTCTTTGGGAGAGATTGTGTTACTCGCTAATTTCTTTCGCGTGATCAACGATTTAATCCAAAATCCCTACCTTCTAAGACACTCAAGTTGAATCTTGTTGGTACCAATTCAGCAACATATTCAACTTAAGTATCTCATAAGATAAAGGTCTTGAATTTGAATCATTGGAGACGCAATGAAATCTGCAGCGAACAAGATGGGTACAATTTTTCTTAAGGCAACAATACTAATGTGTAGTGTAGGAGCAAGATCTTGAGAAGAGGTTTTTCACTATGATGTGTAACATTTTGGACGACTACTAATAAATTTCACAGTACAAGATGAACCTCAATTTCCAATATTATCGGCCTCTCCTCTCGCAGCCCCCAACCCCAAAATAAAACAAAGGTAAAAAAAAAATAAAAATTACTATGCTTGTGGAAGTGTGAACTTGATCCCACTTGCATGTTTGAGAGAGAGAAGGCGGTGGTGAAATGCGTATGAAGTTAGCAAAGCATTAAGATTTAAGCACGTGTATCATACTCAAATATAGGAAAGCTTCATCATATTCATTTACTCATCAATGTGTATAAGCTGCTTTTTTTTGTATGTAATTTTTAAGCAAGTTTTGTCAGTTTTTTTCTTTTTTTTAATCTTATGATTGAATATATGTCGTGTATTTGCTCAAGATCAATGTAACATACTAGATAAAAATAAATAATGAGCAACGGTTCTACTTTTCTTAAAGATAATTTAATGATTAAGCTACCAAAGTTCCAACACTTTCCATTTCAATTATTCTTTATATGCTACTCGATTAAGCTGTTTTCAGTAATCTGGGCAGAAAAATAATTAATTATAAGAGATTTTGTCGAGTTGTTATAATAAAGAAGAAATAGACGTTGTCTAGAGTACCGTGTAGATTCGAAACCTCTATATACAAGGTGTGGTGATATAACAAAAAATTAAGAAAAATAATCCCTGCTTGACTTGGCTCGGATCACCTCATTGACTCGCGATTTTAACGATGTTTTATTTTTATTTTTTAACTAAAAACTGCATTTTCACTCACTTGTAAGGAGTTGGCTCGAACGAAAAATTAGCCGCCTGACTCGCTGGTGGGTCGAGCTTAGCCGACAAACAACTCGCCCCACATGACATCACTAGTATGTTCATATAAACAAGATTAAAAGGATGCCATGTAATAAAGAACTAGACAAGATAGCTAAGAAAATTGTAACATGTCTTTTTTTTTTTTATTTGGACCACAAGTTGTATATATTGCATGTGTAGTTTAAAGAGTGATACAAGTGTGGAAATAGTAATTATGAAAAGCTAATTGATTGGCTGACAAACACAATTTTCCGCGTGAAACTTCATCAGAAAAGAAAAAAAAAATAATTAAAGAGAATGCAGTTGTAAGCACAAAAGTATGCACATTTTTTTATATAAACATGATTGTTTAGTTTGTAGATAAAAAGGTTGTCTCATATCATTACAACCAAAATCACAACAATAATATATATTTTGTTGGTTCAAACTACCTATGTACCCACCATGTTGACCCCCCTATATAAAAGGGCAAAAGAGAAACAAACTATGCAATCAAAGTTACACTGACATCCCAATTTAAATTATTTTAGATAAAGAATTGTTCAATACATAATTTTAACTAGACCTTTTATAATAGTAAAGTATCGTCATCAGTCGGAGTTAGTCACAAACGATATCAAAGAAAATGCAAGTAATTGTAATCGATTGAAAATGTGTTCATAAACAATAAAATGAAAGTACAATATATGCATCGACTGGATTTCTTTCTAATCTTGAGATTTGGTAATAGTATATTTAGGATGTTAAACATGTATTAAATA